TGATAAACATTGATAATTCTCTCTTCGCGTATGTCCACGCGTAATTCTCGCAAAAAACACGCATTAATTGTGTCGGCAGCATTGATGATCGCGGCAGCCAATCAAATAACGATTTCGATTCGATTTCCCCAGAGTCATGCCACAACCTAACCCGCGAACAGGCATACTCTGGGAACGAGATTGGATTACGTCTTCAGATTTTTTGCCTGCAAGAAATTTTGCCCGATAATCCTAAATCGAAAGGCGATGCCTGCGGAAGAGACTAGGTTTTTCCTAAATTATTTTGCAATGATTTGGCGTATCCAACTGGTGGGAAATTGGTATAGACTTCATGTAGCCCTCATTATAGTATATGAAAATACAATGAAATTAGGGTACCTTGGGGTGTATTAGAACCTTATAAAGTTTTACAAAATTTGCTTTGTTTATTTGTTTACAAAAATTATACCAATTACTAAAAATTATCACCGGCGCTGTGACGTCATGTGCAATAGGTTTATTCAGCGAGCGCCAACAATTTTTGCAAACAGTACGCACTATGCACCTAAAAAAGCCCTTTAAAAATATGACGATCGTGGACCAAAAGCTTGTGAGCATAAAGAAATAAGTTTACACTTCATCTTATACCTTGATAAAAAAGATAACATTTCTTGCAATTGGCAGCTTGAAATCGAAGAACATTCTGCAAAATTTAAAACCATAAAATTCCCACTGGGGAAATCCTTCGTCTCCCGCAGTTGGTTTAGAAAATGCTATAGTCGTGATGGGTATTCGGACTATATGCATGTTCGGAAAATTAATATTTCTTCCTACGCAGGGCCGCAAGCTATAAACATGCAACTGGAGTATGTAAGGTGAAAGATGGAATGTTCCATTCAACGAGGCGACAGCCGAGTTGAATGGAACATTCCATCTTTCACCGAATGAAAATATTCTTACCATTAGTCCATTGCACGAATAAAAACATTGGCATTATTTGTTTTATATAACACCAAAATAGACTAATGTTGCTTTTTCAAGAACAGTTTATTAAAACACCATTTAATATATACTTTATTATATTCAATACTTTGTTAGATCCGTTGTGCTTAGTATAAATTGTTTTGGGTCAAAACAACGATTTATTGATTCGCTACGTGAGGCGTATGGTGGAGGAACATTCCTGCTTGACCCAGACGTTACAGGAACGATTGTGCAGCTGTATGCACACTATTTGAAAGATGATTTTGAAGAAAAGGAAAGAAAACATGCTATCTTTGAACCAACGTTCATGGGGTACCAGGGAAACAAGTACTGGCTTCTTTCAAATAAGGTACGATAAAATGTCTATTTATACGAGTTTTTGAATTACATATTGGCGATCACCAAAACTGTTTCCCTTAAAAACTGTTCGTATATTTAAACGTATCTAAAAATTATAAATCATTATCTAGATACTTAGGATACATATTTAGTTTTGTATGTGTTTATATGTGAAAAAGCTGTAACGCCGAGAGTAGTGAAATCATGCACGTATTAAGGCATTATAAAACATTGAGCGCACAAGAGATATTGGGTATGTATAGTTCTGTACAGTACTTTGCAAATGTTTATATCATTTTAAAACAAATTATTATCGTACATATAGTTACAGGTGGAGAATGGCAAAATACTCGATCCAATCGATCACAAATATATGGTTTTAAACGATCACCTTAAGGAGTTCAGCCTAGAACCAAATAGGGCTTTGCTGGAGGATTTTGCATACCTAAACAATTCAATCAAGAGGTATGACCATAGTGCATCTATCCACCGCTAGCTTGATATTTATTTAATAATTTACAGCTAAAACAGCTTATGTGAACAATTAATATAGGCCTACTGACTTCCAAACTTAATACAACTCGTATGCTGTACGCTAAAACGACATACATAATTAACATTACGTTCTGCCTTAACTAATAGGACGCGGACGTCAAAGACGACGTGGAAATGGCGTACGTGTTGTGCCGGATGTGCCCATGTATGGATATGCCACGCCATTTTAATTTCACATCGTTTTTGACGTCAGCAATGAATTCAAAAGCCTAATGGCTTATATGGTGTCTTATATATAATGACGTATACTGTCTTCCTATGGCCTTCCTGACTTCCATGCACCTCATAGTAACGTCGCTATAATTAAAGATAAAACAGCTTGTTTCACATTTTCTACTGTCATATTATATAATGCTCTAATCTCAGACCCTTTATGTGTGAGAAACCATTTTCCACTTCTTTCGTTCATTAGCCAGCGCGAAATAACGCATGAAACAATTAAAATAGCGTGGAAAGGAATTGCAATATATTGCTAGTGACGTAGACATTGGTGTTAATCCATGATTATTATGCTTTAAAGGTTCTTTGTACTTTCTGGAGGATATGGGCAAAATGCTGCAGCATTTCATCTGGCAACAGCATTTACTGTTTCCAGAATAATAAGAAATGCGCATAATCCGAAGGATGTTTGGAGTAAGTGAAACCTAATATCATAAAAAATTAATGTAAAACTCTTCACAATATAGGTATAGTTGGGGAGATGGCACTTGCATGTTCCTATATCTAACTTCTATATATACGGTTTTCACCAGAAACCATTAAAAAAAAGCAAGTAACAAAACAATGCAACCAAGTATAAAAACGTGAAAGTTTTAATGTTCCAAACTCATGATCCGGCTTTATCTTTATTTAGAGGAGAGTTCAGTCGGAATGATATTCTCGCAAGCAAAGTGCGTGGGAAAGTCCCTAAGTTTGTATCTTTTGGCTCTGGGTCAAGGGGTACCTGAACGGGTAAACCTTATGTTCCTAAGTGGTGGAAACCAGCAGCTGTGTGGTACATCAATGTAAGTATGCCACACCGAACTGAAGGCAGGTATATAATAATCTTGTTCACTCCATATACTACTTCTAATAAACTATTTTTATTGATAAAGAAAGAAGATGCAGGAGAGTCTTGCAAGTACGACCGGGGTTGTCATGATTGACGACCCCGAAATCAGCAAGTCGTTCTCTGAATTCTTGCTGCAAGTCCAAGGCAGATTAATGTTTGGCTCCAAAACGGAAGGAATGAGCCACCCAAAAGCAGCTACATTAGTCTCTTCCAATTCTCCAGAGATGGCACGGTAATGTTATTAAATTGTTTGCTAAAAGTCTATATCAGTATAATGCGATATAGTTATAGGTATCATTGCCATCGATTCGACCACAAACATTGCCATCGAAAGCACATATAAGACGAAGAGATAATGCAGTAGGCCTAAATTGTTTATCGTTTTTATATATATATATATATATATATATATATATATATATATATATATATATATATATATATATATATATATATATATATATATATATATATAATATATAAATATATATATATATATATATATATATATATATATATATATATATATATATATATATATATATATATATATATATATATATATATATATATATACAGCCGTATGCCATATATATATATACTTTTTTCTAAAGGACAATTGGAAGAGTTCTCCGGTTCAATTACCTGCCAGCAAATCCAGATGGTTCCAATCCGCATGATGAAAAACAACTCAAAGACTTGGAATTGTTTATGGAAGATAAAAAGGTATATTTAATATACATGTAAGAAGATCTAGAAAATGAGGGATGCTCATAGAACTATTTTATTGCACGTTATATATTTAAGGGTGGCAATGGACTTCTTCTTGCGTGGGCCATCGTATATTTCGATTTGTGGGAACAAGTGTTTGAGGACGCAAACGAAGTGGTCGAGAAGGTGCTTAAAGGACTCCTTCAAAATTTAAAGTTGCAGCCAAGGTGGATGAAAGGTGTTTCGTCGATGATAATTGCCCTTACGATGGTATGTTGATGTATTGCAAGGAATGATTTTAATATCCTACTTTCAGCACTATAATCAATCATTAACCTGCATACATTGTTTTTATATTCTTATTTATATAGTTACGATTGTCATGTGGAAAAACACCAGGCATTTGCGATTATGTTTTGTTTACATGTCAAGAGATAACCGAATCAGAGATTGCCGGACCTTCTGCGATGCAAAAGTTGGAAAAAAATATCGTAAAGAAAATAAGGAAACAATCTGATCCGGTAGGTTTACCTTTCAATTGTTATGTCTACATGAATTTAGGGGTTTAATTATTTTAAAATGGATACGAGTTCAAATATACGTTAAGTCCAGTTCACACGAGCGAGATAAGAATACACTGCACATCATCCCTATTAGTTTTACCTTTTTTCTCTCCTCGTGCTTGTCGGGTACCTCACCCCGGCCTGTGAACTGGACTTTATAGAACATGCATGGGATGAATCAGAACTTCTATTCGCCCGAAGGCTAAGGTATTGGACATCATTTGACAGTTGTCAAATCAAAAATATATTACATTACCTCATCTCTCCGATGAATGCGTCTCCCCAATTTAAACCCCATCATCGCGATCTACTGTTCAGAAAATATGATTTTTAGATTCTTACATGGTTGCACCCAAGTGTAACAGTCCATGATGTGGCTGGAAATAAAGTTCCTGGCATCGCAATTATCACGTCAGTTGTCGATGCTTTTCCTGACGTTTCAAACAGTGTAAGTATGAATTGAATACTGATTCCTGTTGTTGTAGGATAATAATTGCAAAACAATTGATACGAATTTTAATTTCTAATAATTAAACCTTGGCTTACGCAAAAATATTCAAAGATATATATTTACTATTACGTAAGGCCCGTTTCAAACTTCTGATTTGCCAAATGCATTAATAAATTAAAAATTCAGTAGATAATCAGTTGAGAAGCCTCATTGTCTATTGTTGTTAACGCGTTCGGCACACATGAGAAGTACGAGGTTTGAAACAGGCACAAGCTTGACAAAGCTATATGTATTGCTACGGAATAGTTATAGATTAATTACCAAATTATATAGTGCAGCTTTCGTTTTTGAAGCCTTCTGACACTTGTGTATCTTTCAAACAGGAATTTAAAGAGGAACAGAGGAAACAAACCCAAAATCCAGTCTCCATTGGAGTGTATTTCAATGCAAATGGAGATGGGACGCTCGACGATATGGTAAAAAGAAGAGGGACCTGTCAGCGGAGAGCGTACAGAATCCCTTCGAGTGCCTTGTCTTCTTACACTAGGCACGTTATTGAATTTGGTATGTTGAACATCTTGAGTTTCAGATGCCGTAGCCTATACAGGGTGTATAAAAAAAACTGAACAGATATGAATTTGCTCTCAATTTTGCAAAACAGCTATTAGTATCCAGTTTTTGATGTTAATATAGCTTCCTTGGGTACTTAAAATGTAGAATAATGAGAAAAAAAAATCCCGAACTCAAATGTTGTGAACCGGGGGGGTGTCTTTTCCAACAAACTAAAAATGGCTTGCGCACGAAATTTAAAAGCATTAATCATAGTTTGAGTTAATAGATTTAAAATTTGTTGGGTTTTTAATTACTGCACAAAATTTCAGGCAATTTGCTTTAGTTTAAACCCTTTAACT